ATTTTATTTAATTAAAATAAATTTTCAATTTTCTGTTTATCGTAATCATTTTTTTGTTACAAGAAACGAAATTAAACCGTGTACCGCTGCAATATGTTCGCTTCTTTTCTGGAGAGCTAGTAAGCATCTTGAATTCGTCGTCGTTCAGCTATTAAGCGCTAGATGGCAACACTTTGATACAAACAAATAAAAACGTCGTAACTTGCAATAATAAGTATTGATGGTATTGAACTTTCAACGATATGCCAACAAGGTAAAATTTTAAATAATATTAACAGTACCCAGTAACCAGAATTTGTTATATTTTTAAATTAGAAACTACGACCAATCGTTATCAAGATTTCATAGTGTTTCAAATTACGAATGTGTGAGTTTTGACGATAGTAATTTTCTTCTGATAGTAATTTAAATCGCAAGGATCTTAGGGGCACTGCCACTACGCCCCTCATCTTGAGACACATGTTGACAAATTCCACGTGCCTTCACCAGCACCTTTGTCCTTCAAAACTTACGTACTTCCCTGAACGAATTTTCAGAAGGAGCTCTACTGCTACTAAATACACATACTACTACATCTACCATTGTATATACATCTAGTTTTTCGTGAAATTATTCCACTAGTTTGTTGAAAAATATTATTGAAAAATTCCATCGACCCGACTGGACTCGAAGCAGTCTCAATTGCCTGAGAGCTGTATCCACGTTAAGGCTCTGAACCTTTATTTAATTTATTATACGGGTTAAGACCTTTCATCGCGCCCTTTTCATCCGATGGCCGAGGCCATAAGCGGCCGGTTGCTAAATGTCCTTCGGCCAATTGATAAAAATGTGACAGCAATTCGTAACGTAATAAAATCGATCTTGTGGCCCACAGTTTGTTCTATGGGTATTGGAAGGGCGAGGTCCCGGCTTCGATCAGTTCCGGGAATAGACTTTTTAAATTCTGATCTGAGTGTTTTGGGTGTTGTCCCAGAGTAAATTTCGTACTTCTGTCACTGATAGTATAGAAATTACAGGCACGTGGAACTTGTCAACTTATGTCTCAGGGCGACGGATGCAGTCACAGTGCCCCTTTATCCTTGCGATTTCTAGCTCTGCAACTGCTATGGACAGGCGTGTCGCTTATCACCAGGCGCACGACTTTTTTTCCCGTCACCTGGTAACGTAAAAATATATACATTATCAATAATAATTACATGTATATATTATATACATGTAATTATTATTGATACAATAATCGAACAAATACAAAAAACCCCTTCGATCCAACTGGATTTTGTTTTACAATATCAAGTGACGGGACGAACAAGTTATGCGCCTGATGGTAAGCTACACGCCTATCCATAACAGGTGCAGCGCCACTCAGAGCTTTAAATCGTAAAGAAGTTTTTAGGCACTGCCACTGCGCCCGTCACCCTGAGAGAATAAATATTGTATATTCGCAAATAATAAAACGGAAAGGTGACTTCTCTTCGACGCTTTTTGAGCACTCCGGTATTTATCACGAGAGAATAATGACATTCTTAACATTGCTTAACAAATAATGAAACGGAAAGGTGCCTTCTCTTCGATGCTTTCGGCTTTCTGGTATATATCACGAAAGAACTGTGGCATTCTTAGAGTTACTTAAACTATAGATATATTAACAAGGCTTTGAACTCAAGTTGAGACAAGAATGTAAATAAAGGCACGTTTCCATCGAGAATATTCGTTGGCGAGCGCTCAATGAGCGAGCGAGTTGTTTCTGAGCAAGTTTGACAATGATGGATGGGGAAAGGCTACACATTTAAGTGGAAAGTGACAAGTCTTGTATATCGGAGAACCGACAACTGACGGAGAAGTAAACGATGTGGACAACTACCGAAGCACATCGTCGACCTTATGAAATTTTTAAGATAAGGACTGTAATGGGAGAAACCAACAGTTTCCATTCTCATGCTTTTTAACCGACTTCAAAAAACGAGGAGGTTCTCAATTCGACTGTATGTCTTTTGTTTTTTTTTTTGTTTGTATGTTACGCTATAACTCCGATATTTGTGAACCGATTTCCATGATTCTTTTTTTTTTTGGAAAGGGGGTACTTCCATAGTGGTTCCATTTCATTTGAAAATCATCCACGTCTAAGGGTGGCTGTTCACACTCGAAGATTCATATTTATAAATAGCGCCATAAGTCAATGAATAGCGCCTAAATTTTCTTAAGGAGCAATTATTTTAATGGTTTATTTTGCTATTTCTCCAATTCAAGGCGTTTTTCTCTCGATGTTCTTTGAGTAGTGAGAACCAATTTTGATTATCTCCAGTGTCAACTCCTGTGTAGTGGCGACTTTAAGGATATGTCAATAAAACTTAGCAAATAGATGTAATTCCACGTACTTTTGAGGTCGGTTTTTTTAGTACTCTATACTGAGATTATGTGTTATTGGAGACTAAATGGACGAAGGATCAATTTACATTCCCACGGAATGGAATGGAACGAAAGTAACAAAATTATACATAGCAAAATGAACTTTATGTTCTTTGTTTATGTAATTGTGTAACAAATAAACTAGATACGATATACGGGAATTCTCGATAACTCTCCGGAAGATGCGCGACCAATTTTTTGGCTAAAAACCGGCTTCCATAGCGTTCCGCGGCTATGCAAATAAAGCCTAAGAGCGGTTACACAAGCCGCTTTTATCAACGTTGCAAACGCGATGCAATCGCTAATCGTTACCTTTACAAACACGCGCGATTTTAAGCATGCAAACGCGATGCAAGCGCACGACTGCATCGATACAAACACACGATTGCATCGCTACACCTAGGGTCGTATTTTAGAACTCTACTCAAAGCTCAAGTCAGGATTGCACTGGAAACACAAGCACTGGAAATACGACCCTAATGGCAGTGACTTGAGTATGATTTCGAGTGCTTTAAACCATACTCAAATCCTGACTTGAGCATTGAATAGAGTTCTAGAATACGACCCTTAGGATTCATGAGATTTCATCGATGCAATCTCGCGTTTATATTGATGCAGTCGCGCGTTTGCAATCGCCTGTAAACCGCAAGTGCAACGATGCAACGCGCGTTTTACGAACGCCACTTATGCCTTGATATGTAACACAAAATTTAAAAAATACATTGGGAACAAATTTTAGATTAATGAATGATTTAAGATTTACTACATAATTATTTATTAGTTCAATACTAAGAATGTCGCAAGTATTATCGCCTATCACCAAATAAGAAACAGAATGAGGTATTTAAAATCTTTCTTTAATTTCAAAGTATAAATGAAAAACATGAAATTGAAACAAAAAAATTGAACTTTAATAAATTATGTGTCGGCCATATTAATCTACGATCTTTTGCCATTTTTCGGGTAATTTTAGAATTTCCCTTTCATAAAACATCCTATCTCTTCGTTGTCAGTGTGTCCGTTCAACGAGGTTTGTAAAGACCGAAATAAGTGAAAATCTCAAGGGGCTACGCTACTTCGCCCGGAATATACGATGAATGAGATAACACACCCCAACAATGGCTTTTGACGGCTCTGTAAAGATGTGTGTGGTTTGGCATTATCGTGATGCAATACATCTTTACTATTCACGAGTTCTGAAATTACAAATTACACGCCTATTCCTAAAATGTGCGGGAAAATGATTATTATTTTTAAAATAACCATAGACAAAACAGCATTTTAAAAGAAAAATGTTATTTTACTATTTTTTAAGTTTTTATTGACTGTCACGATATTTGACCACCATGATATTGAATTATTTTTGTGAAATTACTCCACTAGTTTGTTGTAAATATTAATACAAAGAGCAACGCACCTCAAAGCGGGCTGAATGTTCCGCTCCGAAATTTGTCAAAATATTGCCTCTGTAAAAAAACTATTGAGATATTTGTAGAAATGACTATAATATTACAAAAAGCGATAAACATTTATTCAATATTTCCACATGTTGAAAATCAAACCCTTCATTTTTAGTATGAAACTTCAAGTTATTTCAAAATCGGAACGTTCAGCCCCGCTCTCCCCTACATCTTTATCTAAGACTCTTCAATTTTGTAATATGACTTTTCAATTAAAATACTTTTAATGTAAGTTTTAAACTTAGGAAATGATAATCTTAATATAATATGCTCCGAAATGTTATTGTAAAAACGTATACAGTTCCCCATAAAAGAGTCGTTTACCTTAAACTAAATCGTGGGACCATGAGTTTGGACTTAGTTCTAAGGTTAATACTATGGATATCTTCTCAGCTGTTTAAGGGTCTACAGCTCTTTTCCTAGTTAGTGCAATGATCTCAGTCATAAATAAATATTTATTTTACTTCCATTTGTCCGATCAATTTGAAATTTGGTGTACCTACTAGATAAATCCGATGTCATTACAATAACACGGTTGATACTGCAACCAAGACAGTTTGCAGGCTACCCAACTCTTCAATTACCTACAGTAGAAATGTCGTGTTTCAAATCCTTAAATTAGTCTCGCTAGTTGTAGTATTAGTTAGATGGTGACATTGTTGAGTTTTTGGAATACACTTCATCTAGGATTTCCTTAATTTTTAAGTGTTATTAAGAATTTCTTTAATTGGTTGAGTCGAGCCAAGGTCGAACTTTTCTGACATCCACCACCAGGCAGGGCTCCGACACCCGTTCAAGGTTACGCCGTAAGTGCCTACCGCTGAATGTACCGACGTCGTCACAAGCGCTCATACAAGTCTTTCATTTATGAGCATTGGAGCCCAATGCTGCACGACTGCATTCGGCGCCCCACGACTTCACACGGCGGGCAACGTTATTTTCACCTCTCTGAGCGCTTGCTTAGGTTCCTTTTTTCTCGTAGTGAGCGCCTGGTGTCATTAGTCAAATTTAGTAGGCTATTATACCGTAGGTATTTTCGATTTTGTAGTACATAGTACATAGTAAATATAAAGTAATCTGTGCTCCAAGTTTAATTTAATGTTCTAATAATAATGAATGACATTTTTGTTGCAGAATATCACAATGCCTCACCAGTGGCTAGAGGGAAACCTGCCTGTTGCAGCCAAGTGCGACGTTTGCGACAAAACTTGCGGCTCTGTTCTCAGGTAATTAGATTTATTTTAAATTTCGCTTGCTTAATCAATTTCGTTTAACACTGTTGATTATTGGGAAACAGTTGCAATCCCTTTTGTCCTTCTGCTAAGAATCCCATCACTTTTAGCCGAGTGTGCACACTCCTTGTTCACCGTCATTGTACACATTGTCACTTTTTGTCAGGTATGATTGTGAGCGGACGTATAAGCCCCCATATACAGACGATTTCTCGTTTCGATCGTTACGATGATCGAAACTATCTGTCGCTACTCCCTTGGCGCTCCAATTAATCGTTAACAACACAAACGTACACTATCGATTCGTCGTTTCGATCAGTCTGAAACGACAGATTGTGAAGACAAATCGTCCCATCCTGTGTTTATATTCATTGTTTTTTACACACTCTGCACCGCACTAGGGAAACCCTGTATTGCTGGTGCCGTAGATACACACATAGGTAGACTGCGACAAATTACACCCAAACTCACGAGAGAAATAAATGTAGGCTCACAAATATTTCTTAAGGCCCGGGAATCGAACCAGAGACCTCGTGCGTGGCAGTCCAGCATGGTAACCGTTCGGCCACGGAGGCAATCAAATTTTTTTATCTTAGTGACGAACTTATTATTGTCCCTTTATATTTGTAACATTTGACACTAAAAAGTACTACCTTTCTACCTTTGTTCCGCCTTCTGATAGTTATCCTCCTGGACACGAATTCCCATAGATGATCTGGAAGTCTTTAGATTTCGGACTCAGGTTGGTCGGAATAAGGACAAATTGTTCAGGTGAGGATTTTCGGATGGTTCTAACCTTACATAGTACTTTGTACGCCTTAACACCTGCACGCTTGAAGATTGCGGCTACTGTTGACGAGGTCAGCGTGGCAGAGTTTTGGGTCAAAATAGACAGTGTATCGATAGAATAAAAAGGGATTTTGAGGTGATGAATAGTAACATACCTTAAGATTGCAATTTCAATTATAATGATCGTAGCTGCAAAATAAAGCACCAATGTGCTTAGTGATGCCGAGCCGGCAGCCTCCGGGATGCCTAGGTAGTCTTGGGGATGCCCGGCAGCCTTTGAGATGTTTCGGCAGCCTTTGGGATGCTTCGGCAGGCATAGTGTGACTATGCGGGGCGAGGGGAGGCACGCACGGCAAGACAAGAACACGAAATGCTTCGGCATGACTAAGGACGCTTAGACATGCTTACAGATGCCGCGTCGTAATTGCCATCAGTATGCGCTTGCATGTACGGATGGTTAAGGATCCCCTGCCGAGTCATCCCGTCTGTGGGCGCCGGATCTTATATTTAACTGTATAGTTTACATATTATACATAGGTATATTTCGCGAATCTCTTCCCGTCAGCCTTCCACTTGCTGCGATCCTGACACACATTTTTCACCTCATCAACAGGCATCAGTGCTTTCAGACATGCAAGTCGGCGAAGGGTACAAAAACGTAACATCTATTGTGTGTTTTGTTTTAATAAATATTAGGGCGCCTTCTAATTAGAGGCGCTGCAGTTACACAACTCTAGCGTTGTAGCCGCGACGTTACTAATTTTCATACAATATTTAGAAGCGCAGGTGCAGCGCCATGGTCGTAATGGACTTCAAAACGGAAGAGGTTCTTAATTCGACTGTTTTTTTTTTTTTTGCGCGCTTACTCCGGTATTTATGAAACGATTTTGATGATTCTTTTTTGTTGGAAGAAGGGTGGATACCTCAGTTTTGGTCCCATTTAAATTTGAAGAAAATATTCCACCTCTAATCGTGGCAAACTAGGGGATGAATCTGGTTTCGTGAACTTTTTAGTTTATTATGTTTTGTGAAAGTCATGGAACAAAAGTTATTTATCCACTCACGCGATACATGCAGCCGTAGACGCATACCACACCTAGAGGTGCCGGTGATGATTTTATACCGATTTATCGGATATCGAAGTTATAACAGGTAAAATAACTTATATTAATTGCTATTTCGGTAACTACTCTAGCAAACCATAAAGTCTTTAATGCCTGGGTCTGTCATTTAAAAAATAAACAACTTCAAAAATACGTCACGACAATAGTGTGTGTTATTGTTTGGGCTGGTGATTTCGGTGATTATTTATTGAAAACATACCGTAAGTAGCGTTTTTCAAGTTTACCCTGAGTATAAATGTTTATAAACTATACTTTAAGGAGTAATTTCATGGTAAACGTTAGAACCACTCAAATGGAATATTATCATATTTATCCAAGTACACCAAAAATTTCATTAGTGCTTTTTAAGTGCAGGATTGGCGGTGTATTACTGCATTTTATTTGAGATCTTTTTTGTTGGTAGTACGGAGGGTATTCATTTAGCAATGCAGAATAATAATTTTTATTTATAAAAACTTGTATTTAAACTGAATCTTTTTCTATTTTGCGAAACCAAATAGCCGACATTTTGCGGTAGGAGAAGCGCATCGCGTGAGCGGTTATGATGTTAGTCCTGTGAGGTTGTTACTATTTTAAAAATAACCCTGTAAAGTACCAGATTAGGTAACAAAAAGGTCGCCAATTAGCATTTGTATTAAACGCAATGCGGTCCCATCACTAATTTCCAGTCAATTCGAATTCCACTACAAACATTTACACAATCTTATGGAAAAGTGCAAACGTAAAGGGACAAATCGTTTTGGGAATGCCTTCGTCTTAACGTTTACGAGGCTGTTACTCCCTTCGTAATACGTTCGTGGAGTGTTATAGGCACATTTACACATCCACTGACTGAACTTGAGAATTCTGGTAGATTCTCAACGAAAAGGAATTTTTTTATGACACGACGAACAGGACAGGAAAAAGTGACAGGACGAACGAGTCGTGCGTCTGGTGTTAAGGCGAGTTACCGGAGAAGAAGCGGCAAAAATCTTTTACTAGATGAAATGGTTGAGGTATTTACTATTGAATACAGTCTTACAAAAATATACGATACACCGAAGGATGTTTTCTAAATTGTGTGTTAATTTGTTACATGATTTTTTATATTTTTTATAATAGGATTTTATATAATCAGACAAAGTACATCCTGTACTTTGTCTGATTATATAAAATCCTGAAAACAAGCTAAAATATAAGCCTAAAACGAATTATTTAAGAATAACATATCTTACTTTGTACATCATTTTTGTATTGAGATATTTCTCTGTAACTACTACAGAGAACCTACAAAATTTTGTTTTTCAACTAAAGCTCTACAGAAAATGAAACTATTTTTCTAGTATATAGTATAGTTGTATATAGTTTATAACATTTGTAACTATAGTGAAAAGATAGGGTGATTTGCATTAATATTAGACGTAACTGGTGGTGATGACTATACCACCTCAGTTAACCGTGACCATGAGACCTGTAAAGGGCCCGAAACGTTGGTTTGTTTGAAAAAACAAATATACGCGGATAAAATCCGGAAAAATAGTTGCATTAGATGTTCTTATTAGTTGTATTAATAATTATGATATTAAGCTGTTACAATTTTTCTATTTTCAATTGTTTCTGCTTTATCATAAATCTTTACAGCTATCAGCCCCGGCTAGAGATGTCGCTGTTCACTGTATTTAATTTTTATTGAATTGATATTCAATTATTTTTTATGTGAAATTACGCAACTAGTTTGTTATAATTGTTAATATAAAGATCGAACACTTAAAAAAAATCCTTCGATCTGTCTGGATTCAAACCAGCGTCTTCTAGCAAACCGTGCTATGCCAACTAAGCCACGGAACGTTACCGAATCTTTAAAAAAATAATAATAACAATGTGGCGAAACAGTCTGACATTCAATAAACTTATCTTCTTATCTACTCGACCAAAATGTCACAGCTTTTGTTTTCGCAATTTGAAAGGGGTTCCCTTTGCAAAGGTTGTTTGTTTTTGTGATTAAAATCAGGTAGGCATTGGGTTGAAAATCAATGAATTGAAATCACACTGTATTATATAAAGAAAGTATACTATATATATATATATATAGCAGTAGAGCTCCTTGTGAAAGAGTTCGTCCAGGGAAGTACCTTACCTATTTCTGCCGCCAAGCAGTAATATCAGCAATACTACGTTTTGGTTTTGAAGGATAAGGGTGCTGGTGAAATTACAGTCACGTGGGACTTCTCAACTTATGCCTCAGGGTGACAGGCGCAGTGGCAGTGCCCCTCAGATCTTTGCGATTTAAAGCTCTGAGTGGCATTGCAACTGTTATGGACAGACGTGTCGCTTACCACCAGGCGCATGATTTATACGTCCCGCCACTTGGTATCATAAAAGAAAACATCGGGCTAACGGAATTCACTCCCGGATACTACGCAGAACACCTACACCAGAACCAATTTAGAAAAGATCATCTCCCAAATTGTTTCTCCTGGGAATCGGACCCGGAATTTCCTCATCCTGCGCCCACAGAACCAATCGTTAGGCCACCGAGGTCGTCGCACAATGTGCCTTCAACATGTATGTATACTTAATGTGTGGCCGGAAACAGTGAAACTGCTTTTTTTGCTAATGCCAACTTATGTACAATTGGATTAATTATGAATATCCTTCAGCATAGCATTACTGCGTTCCAGTTAAGGAGGGTAATGGTGCGCGTGAAATTACAGGCACAAGAGACTTGTCGACTTATGCCTCAGGGCGCTGTTGCAATGCCTCACAGATCTTTGCGTTTCAAAGCTCTGAGTGGAACTGCAACTGCTATGGACAGTCGTGTCGCTTACCACCAGGCGCATGATTTATTCGTCCCTCCACTTGGTATCATAAAAAAATAAGAAAAGTGTTATCTAAATCATAGTTTCCGAAAGTGGCCCCTACCGCACCGCAGTGGATGCTGAATAGTCGTAGGGGATAGAGGCTTCGGAAGCTATGGGGGGCATTGATCCTGTCCAGGGGGTGCTACAGCATTTAAAAAAACAAGCATGAATTATCTATATAAACTATACTACATATATATATGTATTTATGTGGATATCGTCTCTGGAAAGGCGAAATTAC